CTCATGCCGAAAATCATTTACGGCTTATACGTAATGCCGAATTTGCCGTAATTATGGAATTCCGACGACAAGTATAGTCAACATCATTCTAGGGTCTAGTGGGTAAGGCATAAGGGCTCTCCTTCCATTATCGTCATTGTTGTTGTTTTTTTGCGCGTTAAAAAAATTTGAAAAAAAAATTTATATTTTATTGTTTAAAAACCTTGATGATCCTTTGATAAAAGATGTCCCGATGACTCCTTAGCAAGCTTTCTCGTGATTAATCATGGATAAGAAGTCACAAGTCGCGGCTAGCCGACTAATATTTTTTGTAGTTGCAGTGACAATATATACTGTGTCTAGACAAAAGTACCGGATCAAATGTACTAATTATACAAAACGTATACAGAAATTTTATTAATAAAAATTATATCGAAGAGTCAGAAGAGCTTATGTAAAAATTTTAAAACACGTTATTATGTAATCCTTAGAGCAATTGTTAAAAACTTCACGTCAATAAATTTTTCCCAAAATAATCGAAAATCCCAGTAATTTTATATCATAAACTTCAGAACCTAAGCTATAAAAAGCTGATATAAAAATTTGTGCATCTGTTTTTGCGTAATTGATAACACTGTATATTCATATTATTATTATATAATAATATTAACAAATTTACATTTGAATTTTTAGTCATTGGAACTTAGTCGCGACTTAGTCAACTTGGAAAATTTCTAGTCACGGCTATGGCTAGTTGACTAGTAACACTAACAAATACTAATAGACATATTAAATTAGGCTAAAACTCTTAACAATGCTAATTTAATAAATGTCATCTCTATTTCATCTCTATAAAGTTTCCTATCCTTGAACGTTGTGATGATGAGATTAAGTGGGGGAGGAACATTTTAAAATTTTTAATTTTATTATTCGAACTATAAAAAAGGTTGAAACGTTAAATTTTACACGAATCTTAACCAACATCTACATATAATTAATATGTACATTTTTACGTGAATCGATTTTAGAGTGATTCTAGTCCTCATTTCCACATTATAATCCTTAGCCAACTTTTTTTTATATTAGAATGGAGCAATTAGATCATCTAATCGTTTCATCTTGTGTTATATGTATTACTAGGTACTGACGAAAATTAAGGTAAACCGCGGGTTCAACCGGTTTGGGCCGAACTATTACTATTCCCATCCTAACTGGGATTGATCCCTGAAATCTTTTCGTTTTACCCAAATATATATCCAAAATGGTAGAACTTCCAAGTTCTGTCAAAGAACAAGCTAATATCAAGATAAACTTCCAAAGTTGCCTATACCTCCCTTAGAGGACACACTTCAACGATATCTTTCTGTCATTAAACCACTTCAGGTTTGTTATATTAAAAATTACATTAAACTATAAAATTTGTCAGAAAAATAAAAAATAATCATGTTGTATATAATAGAGAGAAAAGGATCATCAACAGTCCATTGAAATAGTTCAACAATTTCTTCAAAATGAAGGTCCTGTACTTCAAGAAAATCTTAAAAAATATGCGTCAGATAAATCAAGTTATATAGAAGAATTTTGGTATGATTCTTATCTTAACTATACTGATCCTGTAGTATTAAATCTAAATCCATTTTTTGTCTTGGAAGATGATCCAACTCCTGATAGAAGTGATCAAATTATGAGAGCTGCTTCATTGATTCTTTCTTCACTAACATTTGTCAATGCTTTGAGAACAGAAACTCTTAAGCCTGATGTATTCAGAGGTACCCCTCTTTGTATGTCTCAGTTTCAACGGTTATTTGGTACAGCTTGTTTGCCAACTGAAACTGGATGTAAAATGCACACTGATGCTAATTCTCATCATATCATTGTACTATGTCGTAGTCAATTCTATTGGTTTGATGTTTTAAATCAAAATAACGAAGTTGGCATTAATGAAAAAGCTTTAATCGCAAACCTTAAAACAATAAAACAAGATGCTCTTAAAGTACCTGCTGTGGAAATTGCAAAGAATGCTATTGGAATTCTATCTACTGAAAATCGTCATAGATGGGCAAACTTGAGAAATGTTTTGGAAAAATCTTCTGAAAACAACAAGAAGGGTTTAAAGTTACTTGATACAGCTTTATTTGTGGTTTGTTTAGATGAAGGAAGCCCCTCATCTGATGATGAGGTTGCTACAAATATGCTTGTGGAACTTATGATATTAAAGAGGGTGTACAAGTTGGTACTTGTGCCAATCGTTGGTATGATAAATTACAGATAATAATATGTGAAAATGGTTCAGCTGGTGTTAATTTTGAACATACTGGTAAGTTATATTATAGAGATGACCTTTTAAATTTAAAAGTTATAATTAATCAAATTTTACATGTGTATATGTGTATATAAAGGTGTTGATGGTCATACTGTTCTACGTTTTGTATCAGACATATTCACTGACACGATTTACCATTTCGCGGATTCTATTGTTGGAAATAGTTCTCGTAGCAACAAAAATCATAATGGTACAGCTTATAGTGTTGATACAACACCAAAAAAACTCGAATGGACATTGACTTCTGAAGTCCATACTGGAATTAGATTTGCTGAAACAAGATTAAGTGATCTTATATTACAAAGTGAAGTTAAAGTATTAAAGTATGATGGATATGGAAAAAGTTTCATTACAAACTGTCATATGAGTCCTGATGGTTTTGTTCAGGTAATAATTATTACTAATAATTAATTTTACTTTTAATAAATTAAGATATTTATTGCTATAATTTTTTTTAATGATTGTATTTAGATGGCCTTTCAAGCTGCTTATTATGGCCTATATGGTTTGATTGAGTGTACATATGAACCTGCTATGACTAAAGCATTTCTTCATGGTCGTACTGAAGCTATTCATTCAGTCACTACTGATTCTGTTGACTTTGTAAAACTTTGGTGGACTGAAGCTTCTGGTACTGAAAAACTTAAGGCACTTCGAAAGGCCATTGATTCTCATGTAAAATTGACAAAAAAGTGTGCACATGGACTTGGTCAAGATAGACATTTGTATGCACTTCAATGTGTTTGGAAAAGAGAAGCCGATACTTCCAATGAAGAAAGTGAAAAATTACCTGCCATATTTAAAGACAATGGTTGGCAAATGCTTAATCATACAGTGATTAGTACAAGTAATTGTGGTAATCCAGCTTTAAGATTTTTTGGATTTGGTCCTGTAGTGGCATATGGATTTGGTGTTGGATATATTATTAAAGATGACAAAATTGCAGTTAGTAAAAATTTTTATTAAGAATTTTTTTTTGAAAATTTATTCTAAGGCTGTACAATTTTTGTCATTTAGTTCTGTGCAGCTTCTAAGCACAGGTGAACACGTAGATTCCTTGATACATTAGAAAATTATCTTAATGATGTACAGTGCTTGCTTTTAAATGAAAGACGTATACCTAATTTGTCAAATGACAGAAACGAAGAGAATGTTAGTATGCTTTCAGGTTATGGCTATTTTGATGCTGGAATTGATCAATTACTTGAAGATCGTTTAATAGAAAAAAAAGAATTGAATAGAGTTGGGAGAGAATTGACATTAGTTGATAATTAAAGTTAGTTATTGTATTATTATAATTGATACCTTTTTTTTTTTTAAATTATAAATTATTCTCTGCATAATAACATAATAAAAATTAAATAATTTTGATAGATTTTTCTCATCATTCAAATTGGTTTTTTAATCAATGTAATTTCTTTGAAAAACTGTATTAACAAGGAAAGCAAAACGGAAGTTGCACCAATATGGTGTTTAATCAGAATTTTGTTTGAGAAATAAATCAAAAGATTATTTATGTTTATTAATAATTTTACAAAACAGATGTCCCCATACAAATTAATAAATAACAATTATCAAAAATGAATTATTGGGTTTATCTTATTATGCCTTTAACACTACATACATATTCATCATATCCATATTATTTATAATAAAAAAGTAAAATATTGAGGTGCAGGAACACATTAAAATATTAATATTGGGAAAAAGAATCAATAATACATTTGATATTGGTTATTTTACTTATTATAACTTCTTTGCAATAAAAGTAGGAATGGAGACTCCGAGTTTATTGAAATTGTGGTTTTTTGAAGAGCCTATTAAAGCAAAATGAAGAAGATCTTTGTTCATGTTACACATCTAAACTCGATAAGTCGGACATTTATTTATATTATAAAGTACTTTAAACAATTGATTGCTGTGTCCGACTTATTGAGTTTAGATGTATAATATGATTTTTTACATCTTTATACCGAAATTTCAGTCTTACCGAAATCCTTTTGATCGGTGACTGCATTAAAAATAAAAAAATATTTTTAATTAAAATGATGAACTAAATAATTTATCAAATTCTGATGAGTTAGCAATAGAACCAGAACCTTGCATTATAATTATATTGAGGCCCTAAAATTTTTGGAAACACTCTTTTGTTTTTGGAGCAACAAGATGGTGAATTTGGGGTTACAAATCAGTTGTTAGAAAATGTAAAAACAAAGCACAGAAACCTATGATTACTGACTATTTTAATTGATTTTAAATCTACATTCAATATATAATGAAATTTGCTGATTAATAAATTAGGTACACATAAATCGAAACTCACTATAGTGAAATTTGCTATTCTTACACGTTATATAGAGGTTTTACTATTACTATATAGATATTACCATCTGTGAAGAATAATAATAATTTAGCCATTATTTATAAATAAATAAATAAATTTTATTGAATAAATAAATAAATACATACAATATATAATATAAATTAAATTTTTTCTAATTCTGAAAAAATCTCCGATAAATAATTTGTAAATTTATTATTTTCATCTACTAACAAATCAACCTCTTTTACTAATGATTCATTTTTTAAAACAAGTTCATTATATTCTATTGATTCATTATTATTTTTATTTTTTAATCAATAATTTAAATTTAAACATTCATTATAATAATGATCTTTTTGTTCATTTATTTTCTTATTTTCATTTTCTAATTTTTTATATTTATCTTGTAATTTTTGATATTCTTCACATAATTCTTTTAATTCTTTAATTTTATTTTTGAGATTTTCTATAAATTCCAAATTTTCCATTTGATATAAATTATTATTCTTGAAATTTTGGACTATTCAGAATTTTTTTAATTATTTCTTTCCATTCATTAATTTTTTTATACCAATCAACATTACAATAAATTATATCTCCACAATGGTTAATTTTAGTAAAATTATTCAATTGTTCATTTTTAAATGTATTTAATCCACATTTACATTCTTCCATTTTATTTAATTTTATTAAAAACTAAAAATACCTTCTTAATATTTATATATAAATTTAATTGTATTTTTGGATGTTCTTTTTTTAATAATACAAATTTTATATTTTCTAATCGAAGATTTAATAATATCAATTTGATTATTAAATTCAATAATTTGTTTTAAATTATATTCTCTTTCAATCATCATTTTATTAAAATCTTTTGATTTTTCTTTAAATGAATAACATTTATTCATTTTCAATAAATTATTTATATAATTTTCTTTATTTTGTATTTCAAAAAAATCAGTATTTAAATGTTTAATTTTAATAAAACAATTTTGTTTTGTTTGTAAGTTTTTAAAGAATAATTTAGAAACAAGTGATGACTCAATAACATCAAAACCATTCCAAGATTAAAAAAGTTATTTCTGGTATTTTTAATATTATTTTCTACCATTTTCATTTTTTATTTTTATTTTAATATCCAATATTTATAAAAAAATACAAATAACATATAATATTTTTATAAAAAATTAATAAATTTAAATTCAACAATTATTTTGTTTCTTCATCTTCTTTCATATCAATATCTTCATATATTTAAAAATTTTTGTGATGATAGCAGTGATAATATTTGTGTGGTCCATTGTAACAATTTACTTCGTAATCATATACAACGTCTTATGTAGTACATTAATATTTACATTTTGGAAACGTGACAC